TCTTTCACTTTCAAGCCAGTGTGGCTGTTGCAACCCCATACACGGACTGCAAGTCGCCGACACTTGGGAGAAGATTGCTGCAAGTACATCTTATACCACTTCACCACGTCAATCTTTTCTATACTTTCCAATTCCTCTGCTTCCTTCATTGACAACTCAAACATGTACCTGAAAATAAACCAATCCTAAATAATTAATGTCTTAACACCTCCCATCTGTTTTTGTCTTTTAACTCTTCAGATTAAATTAAAATAATTTGGTACATAAGTATCATTCAAGAGCATCCCGATCCACCAGCTCATTCTCAATTCTAAACACTACTCCATATCACATGTCCTTTGTTCTTATGTATTGTTCTCACACTACCATTAACTTAGGCTTCATTTGGGATTTTTCTGTGTGGTACTATAGCTATAGGTTTTTGTCTTTTTACTATCCTAAAAATATATAAAACAGACATTATTTCCATGTATTATTAAATCAAAAAGCTTTTCATTATTTCTTATAATCATATTCCTGACAACTCATTACTGCTGGCAATTGATAAATTACCATATAAACCTACTTCAAGCATATAGGTAGGTAAGGTAATACCTTCTATCAACAATCTGATTCCAGAAACGATTGGTTTCATATGAGAGGGATGGATCTTTCTCCAATAACCTTGCCCTTAGTCCACCTTTATAGTTCTCAAACGATTCCTCATCAAGGCCCCCCTGCAATAAAGTATATTTGCATCTCTCACAGATTGTTGCAAGGCAGTAACAGAAAAAGTAATTCAACAGAGCAGTTATTTGAATATAATTAAAAGGCTTACCAATAAATCTTCTAGGCTGTTTATGAAAATGTCTATTCTCTCCTGCAAATAAACAGGGCTGTACTTGGAAGACTGAACGCAGAAGCAAAAGCCAAAAACACGGTATGTTATCCGTGGGCTACATTCAACAACATAACCAAGTTGCTCCTTTGTCCTATGTTCCAACATGTACAACCAAATCAGGAAATGGTTAAAAAGATAAATGATCCAATCATAAGCCAGAACTAACCCTTCCAAGAAATCCATATTTATATCAAGACTATTTTATTATGAAGGGCTAATTTATGACAAAATCTGGAAAAATGGGCATCTTGTACTTTCAAAATGACACATGCTTGTGTATAGTTAATGCATGCAGTCATGGAGTTCCAAAGTGATCACTTTTTCTTGCACCAAGGAGACAAGAAAAAAACAAACATTAAGATGACAATAGATTAGCATTTCCTTGGGTTCGTTTAGCCATGGCATGATATTTTAAAATCTTGGCCTTCATCATTAAAACGGTAGAAATAATCACCTTAGCTGATTGAAAAGTGGTTCCTCCACAATCTCGTCAAAAAGATCTATCAAGGCCTTTAATTTCACTGCTTCTGCCCCCATGTCTGGCTCAATTTGGAAATATAGCTTCAATGCAAAACCACCAAAAAAAGTTTAATTGATAAGAGCATAAAAGCATATGAAGCCTAGAGAAGTATTGACTGAAGGTGTAGAGAAGCAGATCATTAATCAGCTACCTCAACCACAGAGTTGGTTTCAGACATATTCTTTACGCTGACATCTCTCACAAGGTTGGCACTACAAGGAAAACATAGTACATGCTCTCCATGCCTCATTGTAAGTGGTAGTGGTTGTATGGAAAGGTTACTTTTAAAAATATTTGACAAGCTAAGAGCTTCTCCTTCTAACAAATTTCCATGGCAAAGGCCCTCTATGTATATCTGCACAATATGCAGTCAGAAATAAATAAAGCAGCAACTAATGTTTCCAAAAAAGAACCAAGCAATTAACTGTTGGTAAAAAGAAAAATCTGGCAATTAACCAGATGTGGCTGATGATAAATAGATTAATCGTTAACCAATTAAGATTAAATTACATGTGGGATGTAAAATGGATTTGGCTTCAAACAATGTAAGCTGATAGACTGAGGATGATTGTAAGAAGAAATTATCATGCTAATTTCAAACTAGATGCCATGTATTTGTGTACCTGAGAATACAGCTCAGGGATAAAGGCCTTCAAATCAGCGAGAGACACCTCGTTCAGAAAATGGAGCTTTTCATCTACATCATAGAAACTCTCACATAGGAGTTGCAGTCTCAAGTACGATGAATGATTTAGAGGTTTGATATTGGTATTTCTCAAAGTTCTCTCCATACTCTCCTTAATAACCTGTCAGATTCAGTATCAGAGTACCAAACACAGCGAAAGACAATAAAAACACTATAAGACAATTACAAAGCACAACTAAAATAAAATAAAGATTGGATATACAGTTGACTTTTCAAGTGTAGAATTGAAGAGGTAAAAGTAGAACCAACTAATAGGAACTTCATCATCTAGAATTTCAATAGGCAACTACATATTCCACCAATCTTGCTAAACAATGCAGCTCTTGAGTTTTGCTCTTGCCATTTCCCCAAACATGTACCCCCCACATGACATGTACATGATAATTAGATGCAACTGAGAAGTAAAAATGCTTCTGTACCTTGAAACGATCACCAGTAGGTGAAAATGATTTTGCAATCACCAAAACTTTGGACAGGAGAGCAGGAAGTTTATCATTGAAACCATAAACCTTTAGCTCTAGTTTGTCACTAAAAATAGAAACTGAAGTTTCTAGCTTGGCAACACTGGCCTGCAAATAAAAGAATAACTTTCCTTTCAATCGCAGACTTTGAATTCCAAATGCAAACAAAATTAAGAAAATATAGTAAGGTTAGAAACTAAATGGAAAGTGATTACAACGATTGGTTGAACGGTATTAGCAGACTGTTCTTGTTAGACGGTATATTAATAGATTGCTCAAAATTAAGATGCAAAAAGTTCAATGAGTGTTTAGTCCTGAGCATGCAATTTGTTCACTAAAATAATCTCCTCATGCTATAAACCCACTCTAAAACATAATTGCATTTCATATTCAACATATTTAATGGTCAAGCAAGACAACTGTTCAAAATTAAGATGCAAAAAGTTCAATAAGTGTTTAGTCCTGAGCATGCAATTTGTTCACTAAAATAATCTCCTCATGCTATAAACCCACTCTAAAACATAATTGTATTTCATATTCAACATATTTAATGGTCAAGCAAGACAACTGTTCAAAATTAAGATGCAAAAAGTTCAATCAGTGTTCAGCTCCAAGCATGCAATTTTGTCCATTAAAATAATCTCCCAAACTATAAATCCACTCCTGAAACATAATTACATTTCCTATTGAACATATTTAATTGTCAAGCAAGATAATTGTGTTGGAGTACAAGTAAGTCCACTGATTGAAGAGCCTGTTCCACAAAGCAAAATAGAATTTCCTATCAAACAAGACTCTCCAATGAATAGTTTAAGAGCCAAGTGAAATGCATGCAGGAAACTAAAGGAATTTGCCAAAACAGAAGACCAGGCCTTAACAGGAAACGTGAAAATGATAAAGATAATGAACAACCGACCTGATATATAATCTCATTCAGCTCATCTTTAAGAAGGTGAGCAAAAAGTTCAGTCAAAAGACAACTCTTGACATTATTGTATCCTCCCTTGAGATTAATTCGAAAATATGTGTTTGCACGGGGGAGTTTAAAAGTGCTGTCAAGCTTGTACCAGAGCTTCATTAATGGTTCATCAATAATGCAAACTGGATATGACTGGTTTGCCAGATGAAGAGATGCATTATCAGCTCGAATTGAAAAATCACATGGAATAAACTCATTCTTCAAAGGAAGATGCAAAGAAACGTCAATTTCTGGGGGATCTCTCCACAATTCCATCAAAGACAAGGGAATATCTTCCTCAGTATAATATGATCCAAACCAAGGTTCATATTGGGAATCTGAAACAAGCAAAGGTTCAGTTATTTTGCAAAAACATTATTATGTTTAACATCTTGTAATTAGAAGAAACCTTAGAATTTGCTCATCAAATAGCAAAATGAAAGTATTCTATGATGTAGATTGGAAACTGACAAGACCAGAAATGACATAAGATAATTGCAAACAAAAGAATCATTTAGAATATTTCCTATCATATTTGTACGAAACTACATATCAACTAAAAAGGGGAAATGATGTGAAAGTCAAAAATTTACCTAGTGACTTAATGAAGGTCTTCGTTACTAAATCAATCCTCATGTTTTCTGGTGTGAACAAACTCAGAACATGTTTTATCATTTCCTCATCCCACACCTTGTAAACATAGTCCCCATAAATAACATGTTCAGCTGGATAAACAAGCAAATTCTCTGCAACAAAGAGTTGACGACGGTAACAATTTAAAGATCAAAACAGTAAATTATTATGAAAATCTAAGCCATTCAATCAATCCAGGGGAATATTATAAAATCAAATTGTAATATCAAGTAAGATGATAAAAGAGTTTTGGAAGATAAGACTATAGCAGCAAGAAGCAATTAACCTGCAAGTTCTGCAGCATAATCATCCTGAGGTTGTTCCTCCGCAAAGTTAAACTCCATATTCCCAATGTCCTCCAGTTCCTTAAATATCCATTCTTGGGGAGAAAGTTGGCGCAATAATTTAAGGTATTGATAAACATAGTCAATAATATCATAAATCTGCCAAGAAAGGGACCAGTTTAGCAAACATGTAAGATTGATGATGCAACCAGACCATCTGTTGAATGGTCGTAAAGTATAAATCATAATAAGAAATTAAAAGTTTAAATTAAAACCCAAAAGAAAAAGACAATGGCAACCTATATAATAGCAGCCTAACACAACAGAGTTTATCCATGATTCCTCTCAAGTCCCTTGAAGGAAGCAAAAGCTTAAATATATAAGAATTAAAATATATATATATATATACCTTTTCCAAGCCAGAGTCAGTAAGGTGTATGGACATGACAAACATATAAGCTACAGAAGATCGCAGCATTCCTTCATCTCCAACACCAGCAGATAGAGATGTGGCCCATCCTCTAGCTTTGAGAAAGGAATGCAGGCTTCCTCTCCCCTCTGAATAAAAATATTACATTTTTCTTAGAACATTGACAGATCATATGTCGTAAAAAAAACTCCACAGAAAATATATTTTGGTTTAATTATTCAACATTAGAAAGGGGAGAGAAAAGTGAAATGAAATTCAAAGCAAGAAGGTAAGACTCAGATCATCATGAAAACAATGCTTATTCTCTTCCATGTATCCAAGTTATTAGGAGCAAGAGTCTAAGTAACCATACCCATTTCACAGGACTAAAAGCTAATTAACTATTCTTTTATTACAAAAGAAAAAAAAAAACCTTTAAATTTAATATTAATTTCTTCTGTCTCATATGAAAAAAACAGAAAAAGGATTAGCCTCTTTAATGTAGTTCTCTAATTCTAAATATTTATCACAAGTTGTTGTGATCATTCATAAGTAGCAGAATTCCATGCAAAAAACTATAAATAAGCCTTGCTTTAAGAGGAAAAAGGAAAAAGGAAAAAGGAAAAAATAAATAAATAAAAAGAAAGCACAAACAAATGGAAACCAAGAAAAATCACAAAAAAAGGCTTCATATGGTATTTTTAGTATAGAGACAACTGAGTCACCATTGGCCATTAAAGTAACAAATAATTACACCTTTTATCAAGAACAAATACAGAGGCACATACATTTAAATCTTGATATATATAATTTTTGACACATATGATAATGCTAAACACTAATTACCGTGCCCAAGAAGATGAGCCAAATAATCTTCAGGTTTCCTCAGATAGTCTGGGCGAAGACAAGGAAGTGGCCATGTTAAGTCAAGGATATGAACGTCCTTGACTGCCTCTAACCTATAAAGTTTGCCAGCTTTCCAGATAGGACCTTCCACTGTAAACTTCGGCTGTGCTCGAGGACCTTGTCTGACATCAGCAAACAACTCCATTACCCAGCTCTGAATTACATCCAAAGGCTCTGCATCAATGACAACTACCATCATTAAAATGGTGAAAATTTAATGCATCATCCATCATAAACAAAAGTAGAGATTTTGAATAGGAATGGTCAGTTGATTTCCTTTCAAGTAATCAATATGGAACTTATTTTAATAACTTGCACAATCCCTATGCCCAAACTTCAAATTTCAAAATAATTGGAATGTCAGCCACAAGAAAAAGTTAGGATCAAAAAGCAAACGATTTGACAGGATCTTCACAATAAATAACCATAGATGATAAATATATCTCCCAATTTAAGGAAATCATTTCCAGCAGAGACAAAAACTAAAAGAGAAAGACAAGCCATAGTATCTCAAAGAGTGATACTTTACCCCCGCCAATAACCACTAACTTCATTAATCCACCATGGTAATAGTCGTTGTACAGTTTAAGTATCCGTTCACGTAGGTCGATCCCCTTTTCCACAGCATCTGCTAGACTTTTCTTGTTCCCTTCCAAGCAGGAAAAAATCATGCATTTCCATATTAGCTGAAATAAACAACTCCTAGGAGAAATGTTAATGGTGGCAATCTTACCCCAAAAGAATCTGTTAAAGGGTTGACTTTGTCCAGATGTATGACACTGAAGTTGTTGAAGACGGCAAGCATCACTTTGCAAAACCTGGTTAAATTCTAAGATCCAAATGTTTCACATTAAGGTATTTCATTTATAAAGAGATAGAAATAGAGGGGCAATAAAATTGTAAATCAAAAGCAATAAGAAAAAGAAAAAAAGACTTAAACAAGTAGTGCACACCTGAATCAACAGCAAGTACCTCCCGTTCCATGGCTTCACGTTTCACAAGGGGTGAAATAAAAAACTGAGAAAATCTGATAAAGCAAAAAAGACTAACATGAATCCCCAAACAATCTTTGGATCAGGGAAATCAGAGTGCTTTGTTAACACCAACCACTCAGCCAGACAAGACGAACAGAAGAGGGGAAAAAAGACAAGAAAAAGGCAACAAGATACTCCAAAAATCAAGATTCTATGCTGTTACCTTTTCAGCGCGCCTCTAAGAAACTCTCGTTTTACTTCAAAATGATAGCAGGTATGCTCTGCTTCAGTATATGCATTAGAGGAGCCTCCATGCTTGGACAAGTAACTATCATACTAGCAAAGAAAAGATTCAGAACTAGTGCCAGAAACAAAAAAATGATCACAAAGACAGACCAATATTTTGTTCACCTTGATAAATAACTGAAATATCCAAAACAACATTATATAAAGTAAAAAAGAAAACTATTTTAAAAGTTCAACTGGGGGTGGGGGGGCAAAAGGTACTTTATCTTTCTAACTCTTCTTCCTTTCCTTAACAATACAATATAGGCAGGAGAGGTAATACCAACAAAGCAGTATACTGCCATCAGATATAGGTTCATTCTCAAGGGACACCGAAAAGTATACTCAAAAAGTTATACCGTCAAACCACCTAATACCTTTAGGTTACTAAAAGGACTAACCCACTCCATCTGTCTGAAGCCCTAAGTATATAAGACATCTAAACAGTAATAGGAAAGAATATAAACATACAAACCTCGTTTTCATCCGGAAAATCAGCACTCCCCATGAAAAGCATATGTTCTGAAAAGAAAGGGGAAAAGGTAAGAAAAAATGCCTCCAAAATTAGTAGTTGTTTTCTTGAATCAACATGGTAATACGTTTACAGCAGGTCACTTGGTAGTGAGAGAGTAGGGAATTTGGTAGCAATGGAACAGCGAGCACACACATTGCTGCCCATTCTTACACACATAACATAACTGCTTTCAAAGTATATGAAATTGTAATGTTATGAATCAAATAACCAAACCTAGAAAATGAGCAAGGCCCTGTGCCTCAACAGGATCAGAGAAGCTGCCCATTCCTACACACATTGCAGCTGCTGCCTGCAAAAATAACAAATTGCAATTCATCATAACTTCAATTAGACAACTGATTAAACAAAATGAATTTGTAGTGGAATTGCACGAAGAGATTATCAAAAAAATAAAATAAAAAGAAGCATATTTGGTGGAGACAGAGAGGTAAATAAGAAGAAATGAGTGAACTTTAACTACAAATCTGTACTGGAATGGCACAAAGAGATTCACAGCTTTAACTTGTTAACCATCAAGTGCTGGCTTCCAATCAATCTCCCATATTTCACAATCAATCACAATTCAAAATCAAAAGAAAAAAGAGTAACCTTTTTAGTCTGAGAAGAAGCTCCCTTTTCTCTTGGTTTACTATCCTCCTCCTCTTCATCGTCGGCACCTCCGTCGTCGTCGTCGTCGTCGTCTTCTTCTTCTTCTTGAAATTCCTCGTCACTGTCCCCTCCTTCATCTTCCTCTTCTTCTTCTTCGTCTTGGTCTTCTTCTTCTGGGTCGCTGTTGGAAGCTTCCGGGAGTCCGTCGGGATAAATCTCGGGATCGTGAACAAGCAAAGCACAGAGACCGTTATGAAGTTGGATTACTCTGTACAGCCGCCGGTCATTTGGAGGCTTGATCACTACATCGTCCGAAGAGGAGAGGCATCCACTTAAACCCATTGAAGCAGAAGTAGGAGCAGAAAAGCAGAGGACTAATTAACGCCAGTGACAAGATCCCTTTTATTAGGTTTCAATTTTTTTTTTTTTTAATTTTGATGTAATTATATTCGTTTCTTATATGCGTAACTCAAATTTTTTTTTGAGTGTTTTTTTATGGGGTTGTCCAATGAAAGGTCATACATTTATTACTGTTTGGGTATGTTAATGTTTATCAATTGAATTTGTAAAAAATTAAATAAAAATATTTTAAATTTATATTATTT